ATTAATATTGCAATATTTTTTGCATGTTATTATATATGATACCCTTTTGCTCCATAATTCGGAGCTGAAGAAGTTTAGTTTAACTTGCGATTCTTAATCAACAGAAAGACCAAATATTTAGGTTTTGAAATAATTTGATGCATTCTATTATACATAATAACCTTCCATCATTTTGAAATCCTCTTTAGTCTCGTTGAAGATTCCCCCCATATTCAACATATTAAATATATGTTAATTTTATATATTAATCATCATCTCCTGCCTTAATTCCCTTCACTTTCTATTAAATTGTCTTTCATTTTCTACAGACCTTGACTGCAGCCCCAAACAATGTGGAACAATTAATATTCCCCAACTCTCTGGCATGGAATTCCTTATATCAGCAACGATATCTAAGACCCGCATAATACCGGACTATTTCGACTGATTTGGCTGACTGAGCAACTGCAATTAATTAAATCACTTCACCTTGATCAGCAAATGAAGCAGTTTATGTTGGGCTGCTATCTACGCACATATCTAATTCTGTATAATGTGCATTATATTCGCTTATTTATTTTAGTTGAACATGCTGAAATACAAAACATTTGTTTATCCATATACTGTGATAAAATACACCTGCCCTGCTTTAAAAAGCCCCTACCCTCAGCCGCTTGTCAGCCTCATTTGTGAGTCAAAGTTGAGGAAATGTTTGAGTTTAATAGGCAAGTTGGATGATTTTAATGATGATGGTGATGGGGAGGCACTGATAAGAGGCACTCGTAATGAGCAAACATTTTAGTATTGAAATTTTAATTAGCTATTGCGCAATAAAAATAAAAAAACCGCTCCGAAAAGAAAAACAAGAAATTATGAAAATTATGCCCGAGTTTTGGTGGTTTTCAGTTTCGGCTCTTAGTTTGGGTTTTATTAAAATTTATGCCCGGTGACAGTTGAACCCCTTTCATGGGGGAAATTAACCAAAAGCTTGGCCATAAAATGCATTAAGTCGGGGCTGCAGCAGACTGCATAGAATTTTTCATATTTTACGATTGCGTTTTTTATTGTCTCAACTTTAAGGGATACTCTGTGGAGTCGTTGATTGCACGGACCATGCAGGTTGGCATTTTATTAATGAGATTAATCAATTTCGGTTTTCTTCATTATCGCCATGGTTGTTGGCGTTCTGGGTGCCCTATTCCGCCCTATTTTTTTTTTTTTTTGGTTGGGGTCTAGTGCCGAGTGTCTGATATCTGATGGCGTTTTTTACGATGCCTTTTCGTTCGGATCTTAATATTTATGTGGGAGTCTTCGACATCGACGAGGTGCGGTGCGGAGTTTTCAGTTGACGGCTTTTTACGATCTGTCAACGCAGGCCAACGTGTAGAATATATGAGCTCAATTGTCTTTTTTACGACTGCAGCTCATTTGCTTAGCACAACCCCCTTCCCCCTTCCTTAACCCCTGGCGTCTGTGTCGCAGCCTGTCAACAGTTTACACAAACAGCCAGCAAAGGGAGCATTTTATGTGCACTACAAAATGTATGAAATGTACTGCTAATAGCAACCGACCGACTCTCGAGGGTGTTGATATATAGGCCCTCTGCCAAGGTGCAAACAACTAAAAAGGCAGTGAACCTAGCTCAGGTTTTACGACTCGCATTGGCACAACATGCATCGGCATCTGGGGGTTAAGGCTACCATTTCGAAGGAAGCAGCGAAAGTACGAAAGTGGATGTTTGACAGTTTATGACCCTGGCCCCAGGAACTCTATTAGGAGTAGATTTGAAAAGCACCCATTAAATGGTCTGAGGCCAGCACGAAAGCTACCTCTTCCTAAACGTTGGGTCAATATAAAATAAATTTAATGAAGAAAACAGATGATATAAAACAGCAGAGAGAAAAAAAGCCAACACACATTAAAAAAAAATTTATTTTTAAATACTTTTATTTTTTAAAGAGCCATAACAGACCACAAATGTCAACAAATATTTAATTTTCAAATGGTTTTATTAACAACTATAACGAAGTTCATATATCCTTGCCGGTATTAAAAAATAAAATATTCCATACAACGAATAAATATCGATACTTATGTTTTTATGGCCAAAGTCAGGAAGAAATCAACTCCAGTTTCCGTGTTTTGATCAAAATTTTGGAAAATAATGGTCAAACCCTGGAATGTTATACCTCGTTAAACTCGACATAAAATTTATTGGCATTCTTAGCTAAAAATTCATTTTTGGTCAATCTGCGAAAAAAAATAATGATAAAATTATGAGAAATGCAAAAACTTCAGATTGGGCAGTTTTCACTCATTTCTGATTCATATTAATTTTGAACTGATTTCCACTTTAAATCCTTCCAAAAATTGGGATAAATAATAGCATAATGGATATTTTTTTCATTCTTGTTCTTAATAATATTTCGATTTTAAACATAACCCTGAGGTCACTTCGTGTAATATTTCATAACATGCCTAAAAGATATTTAATGGAGAAAACAGTAGAGCAGTAAGCCAATATATAATTAACAAGCATAAATACCTTAAGCCTGCAAAAGGTTTTTATCTTCATGTAACGCAACATTGCACAATGATATTTTAAATCACTTCTGCATCTGCCCAAGAAATTTGTTTACCTTCCAGACTTGCACAAACAGCAAGAATGGCATTTCTCTTTCTTTATTGATGCCAAACTCATGAATCACTCCCAACCACAAAAACGGCAACCGAATTGCTTCCAAAGATGCAACATTCCCATAATTTCTTGCAATTTCCGAGCCATTGTTTTGGCTGATCGGCCGTAAAACCTCGACACAAACGAAAACAAAAACTCTGTGGGCCATTTGCCAAAGAGCTCAGTGGGCTGGGCCATTTTTTTTTTGGTAGCCCGACAATTCACACAAGAAAAGGGCAATTAAATTCCGGGAATTATCGGAACTAAACAAGCGACAAACCACAAAAGCGCAGCGGCAGAAGGAAATCGCTGCTCGTAAGTAGTTCGATTCAATGCAACCGTTTGAAGTCCGACAAAGGTCACCAAAAAAAAAACGGCAAAACAAACAATGGACCTGGCTGAAAAGAAGTAGGCCTGGATATTTCAAGCAGGTAGAGCGGCGGAGGCTGAGAATGAGTTTGATGCCTCATCACGGCCATCAGGTGGCATGACAATTAAAATTAGGTAACACAGTGAAAATTGGAAAGTTGCCGCCTCCGAGAACTTTGAACCGCCGCCAATGCTCCGGATTTGTTAGCCGCCGCCGCCTTTGATGACCGCCGACCTGAACGTTGTTAGCCTGGCTGATGAAGTAATTCAGTTGCCGGCCATTTAACTAAATATTTTGATTAAAGCCGGCCCTGGCTTAAAGCCAAGTCAGAAGTTGGGAGTCGGGGAGCTGGGGGTAGCGGGCCACAGAAAATCAATAGACTTCCGTTTGCCGCCGCTTTATTTAAATGGCAAGTTCACGCCCGCCCTCGTTTCTGTATTCGTTGTCTGGCCTGTCCATTAAAAGCAAATTCCTCAAAACTTGGCTGTCAGCAGCAAACAATGTCAACATGGCCGGAACATGGGTTGGGAAGGATCTGGATCCGAGGGTCGCTTCTCGTCCCGACTCCTCTGTTCCTCTGGTCACCCTCGAGAAGGCGAAATATTCATGCGAAAATTTGTTAACTTTTTCTTGGGGCCAGGCAAACACACAAAAGGGCTAAGCCATACAATTTGGGGCCATCTATCGCTGTCGCTTCCTACTCCTTTTTTATTCATGAGCACACAAAAATAATACAAATGAAAATAATAAAAATACAAATTGAAAGGAAAACAAAACACTTTTTGTGTCCCGGGGTTGGACTTTCTCCTTGTTTTGTGTGTATTTGTGTGTGCGTGTGGCAAATAAAAATAAATATATTATTTTACACGCTGGCAAGACGCGCGCCAGACGCTGCACAAATCTAATTCAAATTCAGCTGAAGAAGTGGCAAAATAATGTGCGAGCAGGGCGTGCACCATGATTCTGTGGATCTGTGGGTGGCTGTCGCCCCAATCCTTTTCGTCCTGCGGGCGGTCCGTGACGACCATAAAAAGGCAGGAAAAAGGCGACGCCGGCACAGGCCGCCCATTTGTTGTAGCCGCCCTCCCCCCGGAAAAGCTGCCTTCCCCCCGGAATAACACACTCATATATGCGATCTAACGATTGCAGACTGAAACCAATACGTGTCGCTGGGTGTAAGATACATTAACATATTTGTTTTGTCTGTGGGTCTCCTTTTTCCCCTTCTGCATATCAACTCTCTCTTTCGTTCACGGGGAGTCTTAAAGTGTACAAGAAGTTATGGCGACAATGGGTAAATGTTGAATGGTTACCGGTTGTATGTGCTTTGGCTTTAATACTCTACAATAATTAATATGATTTTTATTAGTGGTTACTTTTATGGGGGAAATACTAAGCTAGCCAGGGAACAACATAGATTTGAAGTAGAGAAGTGAAATCACAATTTTCCTATAGGAAATATAAATATTTTAACAGAAGTATAGGCAATTTAAAATATTTAATTTATGTTTTATTTTTCAATTTCATTATACTTTCATTTCCATAAACTTTCTAAGTGATAATCGTCTGAGAAGTATTTTTGTAATATCCATAAAATACAAACCATTTTAAAATTAATGTTTAATGCAATTTATACAACAATATATTAAATCCGATAATAATCAAAAATTATCAAGTTTTGTTACAATTTTGCTTGGGGTATTTGTATTTGCTTTTCCAATCCAATTTATTCTATATATAACGAATCGTTTAATGAATTCCATATTTCGCTTTGCCAGGGAATTTCCCCCTTTGGGAGATTCTAACAAGCTCTGGCAGCTGTCCCGCAGTTTTCCCGCCCAGCATGCCCCATCCTTCTCGCTCCCCCTCCTCCTCCATTTTCTCCCGTCCCTGTCGCACTCCTCTGAGCACTCGTTCCGCCCGTATCCACTTAGACAGCTCAGGCATAAAAAACATATGTTGCCTTTGGTCCTTTCACTCCTTCTGCTCCTGTGTCCTTCCACCGCCCGCCACCCACTTAGTCTCTCCCCCTCCCCCCTCCACCCACTCGGTTGGTTGTGCTTTTTCCAACAATTGGTTTTTAGGTGGCAGTCGAGCACATTTTAAGTGGTAATCATTTACGCTTCGCAAATAAATACCGAGTTTGTGATTTGAATTTTCCTGCCATTTCCATTTTCCTCGCTCACTGCCAGATTCCATTTCTGTTTCGGTTTGTGTTTTATTTTCATTTCGAGCCATCCTTTCTCCGTTGGTTTTTGTTTTTTTTTGTTGGGCTGTTCTCGGCTTTTCCTTCGGGTTATTTTGCAGCTTTCATTTTTGTGGGCCGCCTGTCATAAAAACAGCGACCGTGGGACGTTGTAAATTTTAAAGGTTAACCCTTTTCGCTTTACTTTTATGGAAGAACCCGATTTAAGAGCTAAGTCCCCAGGGATTAGATTCTTCAAGTCGACCACTCTTTAAGCAAATCCCAGCCCCAACTTATTATTGATCATCGGTGGTTGTTAAGATCTGGAACTGGTTTTCCAATTACCTTCGCTCGGCATCGGCACTCATTAACCCATTAGACCCAGCCTATTAACTTAACCTGAAGTACTTTCGTTGGATCTGGTTTAAAAGTAAAAACCCGAAGATAAATGAAAGTTTCCTTTGTTTGGGAAATGGCTTTTAAGAATCTCAGCTGGCCTAAGGAGAACTTACCAAAATCGAGCAACCGCAGATGCTGACTGATTCCAGATCTGCGTCTGGAACTTTAACTCTCTTAATGATCTACACTCAGTTCTCCACAGATACAGACAGAAATCTATGCACAGAACAAAAATTTGTTATTTATGGTGATTTCTTTCTTTTATTATATAAAATGAATAAATTATTTAATAATTTATATAAAGTTGGCCTAATTATATTCTAACTGGTGTAATAGAGCTACAACTACTTAAGGCCTTTAACGTCAATTCACTTTCGGATATTCTAATTCACATAGTTTGCTAATTTTTAAGCCCATACAAAGTTGTATATCTTACTTCTAAACTTGTAAAAGGTCTTTGGATTTTTTACTTGTTATACTGAAATTTATTACAAAATCAAAAAATATATGCAATAGTAAAAAAATATTTTTTTTATTGAAGGTAGTTTTCCTTCTAATAGCAGAACATAATACGAAGACCCATTTATATAATCGGATATCGGGTAAAGAATTTATCCGGTATAATGTTTAAGTCACAACGATGTCCCAAGAGTGTGCATTTATTTATATTGTTGTTTATTGATTAAGATAATTTTTTGTTTCCGTGTAGAGTGAGGGAGACAAAACCTGATCTTTGAGTAACGCGATCAGGTGCGAACAAAATTATCAGCCCATGGGCACAGCGAAGAGCCAAATAAAAGGAGAAAAGAAAACGAGCAGGGGCAGAAAAGAAATCAAAACTTGCCGCGAAGTTAATTATAATTGCCTGGGCAAAAATACAAAGAGGGGGAAACAAAAAAATAAATAAATAAAGGTTGCCTGGTTGACTGGAAGACGTGGGCAGGACCGGAGGAAGGGGGCGGGGCTGGCGGGTCGGTGGTTTTATTGATTCGGCGCTCGGATTTTTATTTTTGAAGTGTTCGTGCGCCGGCATCTTAAATTATTTTTCATTGGAGGCACGTCGCCGGCCTAACTATATGAAATATCATTCGATGGGCCTGTGAATGGGAATGCTTTTTCATAATTATATTTAATTTCAAGGTTGCGCCGTGGCCGAAGACAACAAATAATTGTCGGAGATAATCGCCGAGCTGTCGCGGCTGCTTAGCGCCTTGTCAGTGGAATTAGCTAGAAGCGATCTGAAAGATACAAAGATACAATGTAAAATCCAGATACCCAGCTGCAGAAACCCACTGAGTGGGCGTAATTATGACAATTGAGACCAACTCGACAGTCGACCGATTGAATGGGAATTAGCCCAATTGCAGTTCTCGCATGTGTGAATTGAGATTGGAGAACAATCACTGGGTAATGGATTTGATATTGGAGAACAACGGCTGAATTGAGGTCTGCCGAACGATTAAACGAAATGGATATTGACAGATTCCGATGCGAATCTGTTTTTGCATCGGATGTAGCTTGATATTCATTTCATTTGAATGCCATTCAAAGTATTAATTGCCATATCAGAAAACAAGAGAGAACGCTATAGTCAGGTGCCCCGACTATCAGATACCCGTTACTCAGGTAAAGGGAGTGCGAGGGAGATGGAGATAGAAACTTTGATCACGCATAACTTTTTAACGAATGGTTCGATTTGAAAAATCTCTTCTACATTTCGATAGGTATTGATAAACACAATAAAACTGCATTTTTACTTTTCCGAAATATTTAAATTTTTAAAATCGTATATAAGCGATTGTGGGCGTTAAAGGGGGCGTGGCACCTTTTTGAAACAAACTTGCGCTGCGTAGGAACTCCTAGAATCTGCATGCAAAATGCCAATCTTCTAGCTTTTATAGTTTCCGAGATCTCAGCGTTCATACGGACAGACAGACAGACGGACAGACAGACGGACAGACGGACAGACGGACAGACGGACAGACGGACATGGCTATATCGACTCGGCTAGTGACCCTGATCAAGAATATATATACTTTATAGGGTCGGAAACGCTTCCTTCTAGCTGTTACATACTTTTGCACGAATACAATATACCCTTTTACTCTACGAGTAACGGGTATAAATACCAAATTATGGGCAGCCATCGATTAACTTTTTTTCTGGAAACTTTATTCACTGGTAAATTTTAACGCAGATTGAAGTTTAATTTAATGAATACAAATATAAGCAATGTACAAATTTGGTTTCTATATTAATTAGTTGCAAGGGCAAGATTTAAAGTTGATTTACAAAGCTATTTATTTTAAAATGAAAATGTATAATAACATTATTTGATGCACTTTAGCTTCTAAAGTGATTGTGATGACCAAAGCTTGCTGAAGAAATGTTTGTGAATTAATCTGCTTTATTGTTTCAGGCAAGTACAAAAACCAGATTGAATTGTGATTTCCTAATCCCAACAAAGAGTAAACTGCATGCAGTGCGTAAATTAAATCAGTGCACCAATAACTCAGCTGTCCGACTGTGGGAAAGCCACAAATCAATGCCCAATAAAAGCGCAAGGAAATCAGGTCAATGGGTCTGGCCGTGTAGGAAGTTCTCAAATTAAGACATACCATTCAAAAGAAACGACTTCCCCACTTGGGCAATAAAACAGTCTGCAGTGTGAATTGAGCGGAGTGCTTTTTCCCCGTCGACATCACTATAATAGAGGAATCTCAATCGGAATCATTTCGCCCGACTGTTTGACATATCAATTTCCCGAACTGAACCGTGTAAACATATCAAATCGATCGCACAACTTGTCATGCCCAAATAGATCGAATGGAGCCGGGACCTGAGACCAATCTCTGGATGTCGGACACTAAATGGAATTGTAAACATACGAAACATAACTGTGGCTGTGCCTTCGACTGTGACGTATTGTGTTCAATGGAAATTAACACAAAATCGAATAAAACATCGACATCAGCAAGGCAAAGAAAAGCAGCAAACAAACAGAGAACGGACCAAACATCGTAGCAGCTCAATTTAATTTTCGAGTTGTTGTCAGAAAACGTTGGCTTGTTGTTGGGCTTTCAACGCCTGCGCAAAAGTCAAGCGCTACAAGCGTCATAAATTGAACTACAACATGCCAAACAATACCAGAAAATCAACAACAACAAGAGCAACAACAACCACATTGAGAACAACACGAACACTTTTGTCGTGCATTTTGCGCCACACCCAGCAAACAATTTAGTCAATATACAGAGAGATATGCATCGACGGGCGGGTTCGTGGACCCGTGTGTCTGTCTTTCTATGCTAAACAGCCTGCAGTCGCTTTAACTTATTGAATTTCACACGCAAAATGGAGTACGTCGCTGGCAGAGCAGCGCGATAAGCTCTGCTCCCAGCAAGGTGATCCGGAACCCCACCCAACTTTCGTGGACCCGGACCACGAACTCCACTGGGTTAGTCATGTGACTGGGTCCGCTGCAGTGGGCATGGGATCAGATCACTCAGAAACCTCCGCCGACAAAGCCGACACAACCTTCAACGCCAACTCCAGCTGAGACTTAATGTGTTTACCGGCGATTGCTGGCAGATATATGAATGTTAACACATGAACACACTGATTGGTGTTTTGGTACAAGTATATCTAAGATACACATTTTAAATCAGAAAATCAGCCTCAGGAGCAGAAGCATAAAAATAAAAGTTTGCAAAATGAAATGAACCCAAGCTTACATGGTACAAATATTTAAATAAATATTTAAAACAATGAATCAATGAGTTAAGACTGTTCAACGATGGGATATAAGGTTAAGTTCCTAAAAAGGTCTTTACTATATGCATTAAGGTATTTTCAGACTTTTATGCCTGTTTTCTATCATCTTAAACCCAATGAACTGCAAGATTCCTTACATTTAAACACTAGCTTTAGCTTATCATGAAGAGGAAAAACATGTGTAGATATATTAATATAGATTAGGTCTAGGTAAAAATGATGTATAACATCATCAGCATTCATTAAATATATTTTTTGTGACAGAATTTGATTCGATAATCACTCGAGTTGTATACCCGTTGCTTGCTAAATTCAATTGTTTTATCTAAAATATATTTGAAACAATTTAAAGGGAATTTAAAGGAAATATACTACCTGATATAATAAGGTTCCATGAGAGCTAATGGATTATAATTCCCAACCAATTATTCGCTGAAATCAATTAATGTATTACAATTATTTTGAAGCCTACAATATTGTATTTTTTTTGCAATTCAGGCTAGCAAGTGAGCTCCGGAGATGCCATGCAACGTAGCTGAATAATTAATTTCTCACCCAGCACCTGTTCGCGTGTAATCGATATCAGAACTCGTGCTGGCTGTCATCGATTGCCAGATGCTGGCAAATATTTATCAGCTGCATCGCCGCTGCACTGACCCATAAAAGCTGCATAAATATTCATTGCTAGCGCCGTCCCAGTGCTGCATTTATAATAAAATGCAAATGTATCAATTAAAGTGTGCTTTATTTTGTCAACAGCCCGGGATTCCGATGGTACGCAATGGTGGTTAACTATAGAGATGCACATATTGCAGAGCGGGGTGAAAAAAAGACAGTGTTGCACTAGAGACGCCACTTGGATTGGCGGAGTATGACGATG